CAGGAGCCGGGACACCGCACCCCGGCATCCCGGCATCCCGGCAGGAGCCGGGACACCGCACCCCGGGCCCCCCCAGCTGCCCCGGCCGGGGCTCCAGCCCAGTTCCGTGGCTCTGAGCCATCTCTATTATTTAACCAGGAGCGACAGAGAGAGGAGCCTGGGAGAGATAATATGCCGTGACACCGGATAAGAGCTTCTGGCGTCACAGGGGAGGAGGATTACATGTCCTGAATGGAGTTAGAGATGACAGAGGGGAGGGGAAGAGTTTTTAGCAGGGGATTAAGCTTACAGCTCTAGGAAGGCTTTGGGGGGGGTTGTTTGCTGGCGTACGACAAGTCCTACAGCTAATATACTTGTTTGACTTGCCGGGGGAGGGCTCCTGGAGCAGGGAGCTGCATCACTGCGGTGGGGGCAACAAACAGGTTGCCAAGAACAGTGCTGTGGCTGCATGAACTCGTGCTCCAGCTCTACGAAGGGTGCCAGAGAAATGCCAGCAGATAGTGGGCTCAAGGGGTGGTGGAGGAGAATGCACATACTAGGCTTAGACAGTCCATAGGCCAGTCTGAATCCCACCCCCAGCCTGCCCCTTCTGCTGAGGAAGAGGATGTGAACATGCACCAGGAAAGGTGAGGACCAGATTCCCTACCTTCATCTTGGAAGCAGGCTGGATGAGCTCTGTGATGGAGACCTTGTCCTGCTGGAGCCTCCTCTTGACGAGCTTGGAGCAGCAGATGTTGACAGAGCTAAGGACGTGCCAGGAGTTGTACTCCACGAAGGAGCGGCTGTCGATGACCAGCGTGCCCTCTGCTCCGTTCCTCAGGAGGCTGGCCAGCTTCTTCGGGTCCATCACCTTGCGTGGGAACCTATCCCCAGCCATAACGGGCCTGTCCCCTCCGAGGCAAGCGGGAGGCAAGGGGCAGAAGGGCAGGGATGCCAGCACCTGTCTCCCCAAGAGGAACAAGCGAGGGGTAAGGGGTGAGCAGGGCAGCACCTATCCTCGTCTCCTCACACTGCTAATACCCACGATGCCAACTCATTGTGCTGAACCTGAAAAGACAGGAAAGGAGAAGACAACCAGTCAGGTGGGCAGGACACAACGCTTATCTTTGGCCAAGTCCCCAAGAGCTTCAGAAGATGTCTTCGGAACTTTGTAAGAGTCAACAAGCCACACTTTCTAGGTATATTCTCTGAGCTCACTGGCATCTATGGCTCCAGACTGCTCAAACCAGACGTTTTCTCTTCGTATTTAATAGCCCTCAGTGAATCTTTCTTCCATTAATTTGTCTAATTGCTTTTTGAAGCCATGTCTGCTTTTAATAGGCACAGTGGCCAGTGGCAGGGAGGGGAATGGTTTGCCAGCTATGATGAAGTCCTTTCCCTGGTTTGCTCCAAGTCTGCTAACCAATGGCTCCTTTGGGTGACTTTTACTACTTGCACAGGAAGAGGCCATGCATACCCTTTCCCTAATCACCTTCTTCACAGTTCTTACCACATTTAGACCTTGTTCAGGAGCCTTCCAGGTCAGAGGATCTACAGAGCCACCTGTTGCACAGACACCTTTTGCCAACCCGGCCAGCCTCGATGCACTGCCTGTCTTTGACAGGCAGACATACCTGGGGCCAAGATAGTCCATACTTGGACCAAGAAGGTCCCAAAGTGGCTACTGCTTTCCAGTTTTTAACTTGCACAGACTTTCAAGGGGGGGTTTGTATACAGGGGTGTATATCTGGACTCTATCTTAGAAACTGAGGAGGGGGTGAGCCTAGTGCTCTCTGAAGTGCTACCAGAAGGACAAGCTTCCTCCACACCCAGCCCATGGTGCCTGCAAAAGTAACAGGCAGGCTGAGGGGCATTCAGCTCAGGGCGTCTTCTTAGGTTTTAATGGTACATGTCATTGCAGGCATGTTTTAATGGCATTAGGTTTTAATGCCACTGCAGTCATTCAGAAAATAAGACTGGGCTATTACCAGGCTCCTCTTGTTCCTGCCAGACGGTGTTTTAGAGAGAACCCACAAGCTGTTGCATGGAAACTTTAATGCATGTGAATTAAGAGGACTATGAATGCCAAGCCTGAAAAAGCCAGTGTAAAGATTTTCATTGACTTCTGCAGGGCCAGGATTTGGTCCGTGGACTAGAGAAGGCTTATGAGTCATCTTTATCCAAGATAAATGCAAATAGCTCAAGACACCAAAAAGATGCCTGGGTAGGACATACTACTGGGTAAAATGACAGGGACCTCAGTTACCAGTCACCAAGCCTGGAGGACACAGTCAGATTGCAGAAAAAGGATGGAAAGCCACAGAATATGAGGATGGTGGTTCCAGCGTTTGCTCTGGCTCTGACTCCAGCATTAACAGCCTCACCTTCTCTGGGTTATCAGACCTGCCTCTCAAAGCAGACGATAGATGTTCCAGGCTTCAGCCTCAAGATCCAAGCTCCCAATACAAGGCCACAATAGGATATCCAATCCCCCCTTGTCCCTGTATCACACCCTTGTTGCTTCTGCCAATGCATTCACTCAAATGGGGAGGGGGGTGTGTGTGGAAATCCCCTAAAGTGATGGCTCGTCCTGGCACAAAGCATTTTGGCAGCTCTGCAACACTACAGCATCTCTGTTCCCGGCCCCACAGCGAGCTTGCATAGCTCTGCGGCTCCTCGTGGTGACTCCAATTAGTGCTGTCCCCTCAGCAGGCAGCTGACAGTCCCCCTGCTGCAGGAACCCTGCTGCACATCTCGTCTCCCCCCAGCACTCCTCCAGGGGGGCTTAAAAATTGAAACAGTTCTAATTAGGGGGTCTGAGGGAGAGCGAGGCTGGCTCTTGCTGGGATATGACACACCTCATTATGTTGCTACCCTCCTGCCAGAAGACCCCCTGCTGTACCTTGGCTATAGAGCCAGGGCACTCAGAAAGGATGCAAATTAGCCAGCTTTTCCCTTTCCTCTTCCTTTCACGCCCCACTCCCCAAATCACTTTCTGCTTCCCTTCCCAATCAGGACACCAGGCTACAAATTCTTCTCAGCTCTTCCAATTACAGCTAAGAAATAAAAAGGGAATGGAGACAGTTGGCAGACAATACAGATGAGGATAATATAGCAGCAGAGGGATGGGAGTGAAAGACTGGAGTGGAAGGAAGCAGTGATCCAAGGGGGGGACACACATCGCATAGCACCTCTGAGGATAACACGGTATCTACTCTCCAGATAATGAGCAAGGCATAAACTCTGGGGGTCTCAGACACACGGAGAGAGGTGTAAGAAAGAGAACAGATCCTTGACTGCCTAACTGCTCTGAGAGAAACCTGTTCAGAAGAGGCCTTCCATGCGTGAAGTTCTGGCAGATAACCAAGAGCTTGGGTGGAAGAAATTGGAGAAGACAGATGAGGAGGTTTCTCAGCTCAGTGTTTGCTTCAATGAGCCCAGGTGGGCCTGGTGGCAGATACATGTGACACATCAGCCAGGTGCCACTCCCAGCTCCACCCAAAAGATATGTGGGAAGGCAGGCCAAAATTGGTCTGTTCTGCCCCTCTTTCTGGGAGCCTTTATGGGGGTTAAAGATGACTGAGTATGGCCATAGGGAGCTGCAACCTTGGCATTAGACCCAAGTTACAAGGACTTCTAAGAGTATGTACAGGCAGGTCAAAGACAGATGAGCCACTTCTCTGCCAGCAACCACAGGACATTTTGAAGTCAAACTAAGGGATAGTGGATTCATGCCCAGCTAACAGGTACCCTAGGTACCAGGAGAGCCTATCAGACCTTCACAGTACCTCACAGGCTCTGCATGAGATGGCCTCCAAGAAGAAGGAGCTCTAATGCCTCTGTACCTGGGAAACCTACCAGCGAAGGAAGAGGTGTCTTTCTGCTCAGATGGTTCAAAAGGAAAACTGAAGGAACAGGCACAGCCATGGAGCACTGTTGAAGTAAGAGATCTTCTCACCATGGTGACAGGAGACCAGAGGAAAATGTTAACCTCAAACCTAAATTAGGGTTTCCAAAACATAGCTGTGTCCTTCTCTTATCAGTTTATTAAAGCCATCTTAATCTTCTTGAGTGTTCCTGAAGAACATTACCATAATCCTTTAATCCCACCTCTCCCTGGAGTGCCTGTAATGAGGAGACAGGCACAAGGCTTAGCTGAATGGGGACAGTCAAGCAGGAGAAGCCAGCATTCAGCTAAGGGACAGAAAGACAGGCAGAGCTCACACACAGGCCAACTGCCTGCTCATCAGGACTGTCCCCAGCACCACCTTCATGGACATGTGTGTTAGGAGAAGGGTCCTGGCCACACGAGTCACAAGTGTGACAGATGCAAGCAGCAAGCCAGACTAAGGATAAGTGTTCATCCAGGCTGTAACTGTATTCTGGTCAAACCAGGCAAGAGAGCAAGAAATCCTAAAACACGTCCCAGCCCGAGTCTGTGGGGTACGACAGACCACAGGAATTCATCCCTGTGCTGGCTCAACACAGGTCACTGAGGTGGAGGCTGCTTGCCTTGCACAAGGCCCACAGATGAGAGTCATGGTATGGGAAGGGCACAGATCTGTTTTCTCTTGCACTGGAGACATCATCTGGAAGGCCAGTTTGTCTCTGTAGCAACCATAAACCTCACTAACCAGCATGTCCACTCTTTGCGCCAAGCTTGTGGTTGTGCCCTGGCAAGCTCTACCCTCCACACACTGTCCAGTTGAGGAGCTGCTCTGCTCACTGCCTCAGGCAGGCCAGCTTTGGTGTAGGATGCAGCTCTGACCGATGAACCTGTTTCCATCATGTGAGATTGGGTCTACAACATGCTCCCTGTGACGCTCATCCCAGGAGTATGCTCTTCTGGTGGCATCTCCACCTTGATTTTACCAACAGGTAAGAGCACCACAGAGCAACATCTGCTTGTTTGTCTCCAGTAACCCACAAAAGCAGCCATTACTGAAGAACTGCAGTCTCCACCAGGGACCTAGCAGCACTGAGCTAAGTGATCTGGCTTTTTCTCCTGCAGTTCACCTGGAGAAATATCTGTGTCTAAAATGCTGCCTGGCCAGGACTCCTTCATCCATCCAGGTCAGCCTTGTCACCAGCCCCAGGCTTAACACTGGGATGCTGACTGGACCCCACTGGCCCTCAGTTTTCCAGACACTTATTAAGATGCAAAACATGGCACTTTTGCCAAGTCCTCCACCCTTTTTTTCCCTCCCCATCCCCTCATTTCTTTCAAGTGCTTCAGCACTTAGCGAACTCCCCTTGGCAGGCTCACACTGTTAGAGGAATTCCTAAATCACGGGCCTATTACTAATTATTATTATTTTGCAGCAGCAATCAGGGACGCAGGGCTCATTAACAAGTTATCACCTCTGGTTTCCCTGGAAACCTGCAGCTGCCAGGCAACGGCTGTGTCTCCGGCCGGAGGCGATGCTGCTGCAGCACCTTCAGCTCACTCCTGAACGATGCTTAGGTCCTGCATGGGCTGGAGTTTAGCAAATGAGATGTGGTTAGGAAACTCCAGGATGTGCCCCCCTGCTCTGTCCCTTCTGCTGTAAACCTCAGCTCATCTACTCATCTTCTTGTGCCACTCCCAGCATCAAAAACTGCGTAGTGGCTTCTCCCTCCCAGCAAGAGACGCAGGCTTTCTCCAAGGGCGAGGAATTTGGAGCACTAATGATCCTGCAGGGTGGCAATGGGACAAAGCTGTCAGGTGCCTGCAGTAGCAGCTTTGGAGGTGATGTAACTGCTGATGATTTCTTAGCAGCTACTCAAGGTCCCTTTAAAAAAGCAGCACAAAAGATTTCTCTGCGTGATGATGGAAAAATGGAGTGTGTTTTTTTTTCCCTTTTTCTCCTTAAAATGAAGACGAGAAACACCACTAACCACATCCACTAACCCAGATGC